CCGGCGCCCCGCCCCGTGGCCCCCCCCCCCCATGGTGGAAGGCCCAAGCCCTCGGTGGGTGCCGGGGGCTCATCTGCGGCTGGTTTGGCTCCAGGCGGCTGCAGGGTGGAGCAGGGCTTGGGCAGGGCCCCGGGGACGACGCTGACAGCGCCCAGTTCGGGGACTCCCCCTGCCAAGCCCCTTCCCCAGCCCGCAGGAGCGGGGGGGAGCGGACCCCGCTGCTGCCGTGCTGCGTGGTCGGAGGCAAGGCTGGGAGAGACGGCGGCAGAGAGACGCTGGAGAGCGAGGCGGAAAATCCAGAGAGGGAGAGAAAGCCCAGGGAGGATTCGGCCACCGGACAAGCGAGAGCTGCCGGGGGCCGTGGGGACAGTCCACAGCAAGAGCTGAGCTGGGCCTTTGGGTTTGGGCTGGACCAGGAGCCAGGCTTCGGGAGCGGCACCAGCACCCAAAACGCAGGCTGGGTCTGAGGAGTCTGGCAGTACGTGTGGAGCGGCTGCTCCTTCTCTCCTTGAAAGACATCGAACGGGGAAGCTGATCTGCAAGGGGCGAACGTGGAGGGGCTGCAGCGTGTGCTCACCGCTGGCCAAGTGTTTGAGTAGTATTTACCAGAGGCATTTAATCATTTCAGCTAGGAAGCAAGAGGTTCGAGGGAACAGTGCCCTAAGAAAACCACGTCGGTGACTAGGGAACGCCAGCAGTTTTGAGCGGCTACCCCCGGTCTCCACCTCTGCACCTTCCCCCTCCTCTCGCTCGTCAGCACGAAGCGTTTCTCTTCGAAAGTCCTTAGATTTCCTCCACTCCGTGTGCAAATATCATCACCAGTCCCGGCTCTAGCACCATGTCCTCGCCCATGTGCTGGTTTTCGCAGGCCATCACCACCACGGCCTGCTTGCCGGGGATGCGCTTGGCCACATAGTTCTCGTAGTACCGCCGGTTCATCTGGCGGGTCTCCAGCGTGGCCAGGCCCTGCGGCCAGTTCCGCTCGTGGGCGTTCTCGATCAGCTCGTTGATGATGGACGTGGGGCAGCCGCTCTCCACCAGCGAGCGCTTGATGACGGCCTGCAGCACCGCGTCTGGCGTGGAGATCATTCCACCCCACCGCGTCACCCGGGCCGGCTGCAGGGAGTTCACCCACCTGGTGACAGACACGGGACAAGCGGTCAGCACCGTGCATTTTTGGTGGCTCCCGCCAGAATCGAGGAGCTGGTCCACTCCCCAGCGCTCGGGAGCAAGGCTGGACGGGGAATGTCCTCCATTTCCCCACCTACCCCTTCCCTGTTTTCACCCCCAAACAGGACCCAGCTGCGGCATTCAGCTCTGCTACTCCCTCCCCAGAGGGAGGGGAAGAAAGAATGAGATGAGAAGCTGCTTCCTCCGGCCTTTCTCACAAGGAGGAAGGAATCTGGCAGCTTCCTGCTCGTGGGCAGGATGCAGGTGGAAGAATAAAAATGGTCCGAACCCATTGTGCAAGCAGCTCACGTGCCGCTCCCCGGCACAAAGGCCCCGCAACTGCCCCCTTGCTTTTGTGAAGCATTTTCTTCTCAAACCGCGCCTTTGCCTTGGAAGGCGCTTCACCCCCTCTCAAATCCATCAGCGAAGCTGGCAGACTCCCAGCTCCGCTCGCGCCCCGACGCAGGGCTCCCCAGCTCCTCCCCGGTCAGCACGAGAACCAGCACTTACTCCAGGATTTCATTGTATTCGATGGTCTCCTCCAGGTTCTGCAGGTTGGGGTTGACGCTGCGGATGGCGCGCATGTAGGCCTTCAGCAACTGAATGTCCCGTTTCTGCAACAGGCAGGACACAGCGGGGTTTGCAAAAAGGGAGTCAGCACCGCGGCTACACGTCACGAGACCAG